CGTCGCCGCCCTCGCGCAGCGCGCGCAATGGTGTCTCGCCGTCGCGCGCGAGCGCGACCCGCACGGCGACGCATAGCGCGCGCGGCGGCCACATCTGTCCGTGATGTTGCCTGTGCGCGCCCAGGCCCGGCGCGCAGCGCGCGGCAGCCCATCGCGCCAATGAATCTTCGACGATCGGTGAGTGCAAAATTCACCTCGCCGTCGCACCGCCGTCGCGCCTCAGGCCCGGCGACATGGTCTCCGTCGCGAGGACGCCGGTCGGCAATTCCATGAGAGCCTCACGACGGCGCGGACGCGCAGGGGCTGCCCCGACGACGGCGCGCTCCGGAGCTCGTAGCAGCCCCGCAGAGGCCCGCGCTGCCGGCTCTGACTTAGGGCAGTGACGCCACACCTTCGTAGGCGCGTTGAGACAAGAAACGACTGCAACGCACCGCACACCGGCGCGTCGCGCAGCCGACAGCGCAGGTGGCAGGAGCTTGCTCATAAGGCCAAGGTCCAACGCAATCCAGACGGCACTTGGGCAGAGTTTACGCGGGCCTAAAACGTGGTAGTCTTCACTCTCCTGCTACCATCGTGTGGCTGGGAGCTTGAGGGGAAATGGCAGTGTTCCTGACTTAGACTGAAAATGGAAAAGTGAGATGGGGCTGCTGAGCAGCCCTGATTCCCAACAGGAGAGGGTTACTCTATACTGTCTTAAAGTGGAAAAGAAAGAGAGAAAGGGAAGGAAATTGGGAAAAAGGAGGAAGGACCCCCATACTAAAGTGGGGACCTCAGTCTCATGAAGATATGAGACTGCAAGGTAGGGAGAAAAGGGAGAATAAGCACAGTGGGGCAGATACAGGAGAATCTTCCTCCTGAGCTCCCCCTATTTGCCAAACTGCTATAGATTTTCTCACATATACTTGTGGTCGGACTCGGGAAGTTCAACATCGGACAGGCATGCAACTGCTTCGGCTAACTTAAATTCAGATGCACCATTATCAGCATGAACTCCATACTTAATCATGAACCAACCAAGGGGTCAGGGCAGTAGTGTGTACGCCGCCAGTGAGCAGTATGACTTGCACGGTGCAAACTGTGGGTTCTCCACACCTATGCGCAAGTCATGACACGCTGCACTGATTGTTTTGATGATCTCTTTATCGTCGACTGGTCGATCGCGCATACCTAGTAGGGTCGTAAACTGTTGGCTCAAGTGAGTGCCCAACAGCTTAGTGAATCCATCAGCAGGATTAATCTTGCCTGGAATCCACGCTGGACGCACGATACCCTCATTCTGATAATCGCGAATGCGAAAGTCTCGCAGTGACACAAACTTCGACTTGGGAGTAGTTAGTGGATGGTTCGCAGTAGACAAGGCTGCTTGATTATCCACTAACAGTGGA